AGTTAGAGAGCCAGCTGGTGGCCTGGGCTCAATTCCCTGCTCCACCGCAGAACTCCCAGATGACCTGGGGCAAGTCACTCCGGGCTTGACCCACAAGGATATTCAGGTGCCTAACTCCCTCTGGCGGCTCTGGGGACAATGGGGATTACAGCACTGCCATGCTGATAATGAGCACCATCAATGTACTAGATGGAGGTAGGGTCAGAGACGTCCACCCCTGCTGGCCTGGCCTGCAGCCAGCATTATCCCTCTACAGGTGTCCACGAAAGTGAGCAGGGGTCAGAGGGGTCACATGATCCTTTTATCTTCCCTTGGCCCCCCCCCCCGTAAAAGCGGCACCATCACCCTCCTTCTCATCCTAACTCCCTGAGCTCCCCCTCCTGTTCATCACTGTGTACTGCACGTACTGCTCTATGTTATCCCTGGGAATTAGCTGAAAATTTTTTGCCCATAGTTAAGGGAGAACTCATTTGCTGGTGAACATAATCTCGTGGTGACTTGAACTTCAGAGAGATACAGGACCAGGGCAAAGCCTTCCCTAAGCCAGTCTAAATTAAAGAGGGGCTCTGGGTAAAGTCTTAGGGCAGCTACTAATGAGGTCTGCTGAATAGCGGGCTAGACTGGGAATCAGGGGACCTAGGACCTTGGACAGGTCCTATCCCACACCTTGTCTTAAATGCTTTGAGGCAGGGACTGCCTCTGTGTCTGTACAACACCCAGAGCCATAGAGCCCTGGGCTCTGGCTACAATAATAAAAATGCAAACATACCTGCTCAAGTGCCCAGCTGATATGGGGGTAGGAAATCCATGACTGGTGAGAGCTTTCACAGCTATGCTGGGCCCTGACATGTGGGTCAATCACTATCACGCCACTGATCTACTTATCCACGGTGGTTATTGAGCTTTCTACACTGCCTAGTTAACCAATAATAGCAAATCCATGTACGGGATCATGCCCCCTGTGCTCCGGGCAGCAGTGGGGTTAGAGTGACACTTTCTGGGGAAAATGGGGAAAGGAGGTTTGGCTTATCTATTACTATTGAAGGGACCAGGACATGAGAACGACCTGATTTGTTCCCTAGCCCTTCGTGAATTCACAGCGTTTAAGGTACCATTAGATTGTCTCCTGTGATTGCCTGTATACCACAGTCCTTACCTTTCACCCATTGCCCCGAGCTGAGCCCAGTAACTTGTGTTTGGCTAAGGCGTATCTTCCAGAACGGCAGCCAGGCTTGAGCTGAAGACCAAGAGATGGAGAACCCATCACTGCTCTTGTTCCAGAACTTCATTACCTGAACTGTTAAAAACCACGTGCCTTATTTCTAATTTGAATTTGTCTGGCAGCAGCTTATTGGGTCATGTCATGCTTTGCTAGCTGAAAGAGCCTTTTAGTACCCGAGATTTTCTCCGCATGAAGATACACGCTGTAATCAAGTCACCTCTCAGTCTTCTTTTTGACAAGCTAAACAAGTCCTTGCTCAGGAAGAGGCTGAAGTAACTCACCATCGAAGCGTCCGGTGACCTCATGCCTCCCTTGTTGCAAGCACGGTGGAGCAGAACTGATAGTAGCAACAAATAAAACGTGTAAGGGGGGAGACTAGGAATGAAACGGTAGAGGAAGGCTGGTCCTGGGGTCAGTCATGGGGCCCACTCACCACAGCAGCGCCTCCTGCTGGCTGTCACGGGGATTAGCTCTGCCAGCCCACGTGCCCTCTCCTGGTGGTGCCTCTCCCATCATCATCTCCGCCTGCAGACCCGCCTCAAGCCAAGTACTACAGTGTCCTTTTCAGGACTCAGCCCTCCAGTCATGCCACCATCAGTATTTCCCTGTTTCCAGGATGTGTGTGTGTGTGTGTTTGTGTGTGTACGGGGAATTACTACCCTTGTCCAAATCCTGCCACTTTCCCAGTGGTGGAGGAGGAGTACCCAGGCCCACCCATTACTCTGGGTCCCTGCCCAGGGACCCTGTGCATAGCAGCCTGCTTCTGAGCTTCTTTAACTTCTGTCTCTGCTGCTTCAATACCCTGCGCCACTTCCCCGAGGCCCCAGCACCATCTTCACTCTCTTCTCCAGGCATTCAGCCCACTAGTCTCAGCAGCCAGCCAGGAGCTCCCTCACACTCCCCTCAGTCTCTGCTAGCAGCTGCTCTGTCCAAGGTACTGCTAATCCTCTCAGCTCCTCAGGGATACCTTGCTCATTCGCTGAACCACTGACTGTCTCTGGCCCTGCAGCTCCTTTTATGTGAGCCCCCCGGGCCCTGATTGGCTATTCTGTGCAGCCTCCCTCCAATTGGCTGCTTCCTGTGCAGCCTCCCTAAGCTTCTTGGAGGACTCACCTCCACTGCTCCTTTCTGGGACAGGGTGTGGCAGGCCCATGAAGCCTCCATTAACCCCTTCCTCTCCGGTACAGGTGAATACCCCATCACAGGGTCAAAGCCCTGACCTAAACTAGCCCTTGGATGACAGCGGTTCTATTTCCTTCTCTACTATACACTCTCCATGCGGCCTTGGGCAACTTATTTGGGCCCAGAGTCTCAGAGATGCTTACAGCACCTACCTCAATGTGAGTTAGATGCCTGCATTTCTTTGGGGATCTGGCCCTTAATCTCTCTGCCTCAGTTCCTCCTCTGTAAAACAGGGAGTGGGGGAAAGTAACGTTTGCTTTCCCCCTACCCATCATCTGTTTAGACTCTGAGCTCTGTGAGGGGCCAGGCCTCTCACACACTACATGTTTGTGCAGCACCTGGCCCCATGGGACCCTGATCTCAGCTGGAGCCTCTCGGAGCCACTGTCGTACAAAGAAGTAAGAATAGGCCTAGCGTCAAAAGGGCCAATTTCTAAGGTTTGAAAGGATCTGATGCATTGGCTTTGGGGTCCTTTTCCGGGTCTCTAGAGAGTCTTCAGGCTGAAAAAAATACAATCTGAAGACTTTTGAGGACCAGTTCAGCAGCCTTGGGAAGTTCCTTGGGGTGAGATTAGAGTCATAACTATAACATCCTCTCCTGGTAATGACACCTGCCCCGATCCCAGGACACGCCCCCAGCCTGTAAGCGCTCAGGCTGCTTCAAGGATCTAGGGAGTCGGGTCACATCTGGGTCATTTCCAAATAAGATCAGGCTCCTTGCTCAGTTCCAACTCAGGCTAGAGCCCAGTGGTCTCAGGGATTCACATGCTACTGTACAGAACTGCCCAGATGTGTGTCATAGGCCCTCTACTGCTAATGGCTAATGGATATGCCCATTAGTTCAGGTTGCACGGGCATGTACTGGTAGAGAAGGAAGTTCACATCTGGCTTCCTTCCCATCTTGAAAGGGATGATCAGCCACTTCCATCCCTCCCCAGCTGCAACCCTTTGCTGGACCAGAAAGCTATGTGTCAGGCAGGAGTAGGCTGTGTGTGGTGGTGGGGGGGGAGGAGGATTTGTAAAGTCCACTGCACATATTGCCCACCCCCCTCCTGCACCAGACTGTGGAAAAATTAATTTCACCCAAGAATACTTTGCTGCTCCACACCCTTAACCTGTGGAACCCCCTCGACACACATACCTTGAGAGTGATCCTATTGGCAAAACAGGGGAAGGCTCCAATGATAGATAGATAGATAGATAGATAGATAGATAGACAGATAGATAGATAGATATAAATGACAATCGTTTGCTAGCTAGATAGATTCATATGGCAAGAGACAGGCAGTGTCTGCTGGTTCGTATACACTGCAATAAAAGACCCATGGCATCACGTCTCAGAGCAGGGTCAAATGACTTGGGTTTGTGGGGCTATAAATAGCAGCGGAGACGTTGGGACTGGAGCCTGGGTTCTGGGACCCTCCCCCAGCCAGGTTTTAGAGCCCAGGCTCCAGCCCCAGCCCCAACATCTGCGCTGCTGTTTTTAGCCCCATGGCCTGAGCCCCATGAGCCTGAGTCAATTGACCTGGACTCCGAGACTCAGTGTGGCAGGTTTTTCTTTGCAGTGTAGATGTACCCTTAGGGTGAAATGTTGGCCCTAGTGAAGTCAGCAGGAGTTTTACCATTGACTTCAATGGGTCAGGATTTCCCCTCTCTGTCAGGTAGGTAGCTGGATTGTTTGGTCTGTCTGTCTCTGTCTGTCTGACCGGCAGATTAGATCCAGTGCTACTGACAGAGTGGTTGACTTTCTACTTCACCCACAGGCCTTGTAGAATTACAGTCATGGCCCATCTGCTTCCAATTACAGCACTTAATAGCTGACAATGAAATGAAGGAGATCACATCCATGCCTGGGTATTTAATACCTGTGTCGATCCCCATTTGAAAAGCTGGCACATTTGGTTTCATGACAGTACACAGTGGGAACGAAAGAGGTCTGCGCATTGAGTTTATCAGTGTAAGTCATTTCAGTTCTTGCAAATCTACAAGGAACTGGTAGGGTTGTCGAAGAAGAAGAAAAAAAGAAGGATTGGATTCTTGTTGCGCTAGGTGCTGTACAAACATAAAAGACTGTCCCTGCCCAGAAGCAGCGTAGAATCTAAAAGATATTGTATTACTAAGTCATTTATTATTAAAACTAATAGAATCCTGCCCCCTCGTGGTTAATTAGCAATTTTCTCTTCCAGGCTTCTCCAGTATTTGAAGTGCGCGGGGGAGAAAGACTGATAAGTGAGCCCAGGAATCAGAAGGGCTAATAAACACACTATGGTGTCCCTGGTGGAGATAGAGGGCAGGATCTCAATCACAAAAATCCTATGGTGATCATTGAATGAAACATTTAACATTCCTAGACGTAACAGCAAATAGAAACTGCCCCTTGTTTCCCTTCCGTACAGTCGGCTAAAGTGGCAAACATTCATTAACTTTAATAATAAATTACTGAGTAATACATTATCCAACCCAGCAATCCTCATACAGGCTGTCTGTCTGCCTGTCTCATCCAGCTGCTGTCCATGCTCAGCCCCTCGTTGTGTCTGAGCTCAGCCCACCCTGAGGTGGCTCCTAACCATGTCCATCCCTTTTGCCCTTTCCTCCAGATGACTTCCGCCCCCAAGGTGTACTACAGCCAGACCACCCAGACCGACAGCCGCCCCCTCATCGGCTCTGGCCTGCGCAAGCGGCGCGTGATGACCAAGGACGGCCGGAGCAACGTGCGGATGGAGCACATCGCTGACAAGCGGTTCCTCTATCTCAAGGACCTGTGGACCACCTTCATCGACATGCAGTGGCGCTACAAGCTGTTGCTCTTCTCCGCCACATTTGCCGGCACCTGGTTCATCTTCGGGGTGATCTGGTACCTGGTGGCCTTGCTGCACGGGGACCTACTGGAGTTCGACCCCCCGGCCAACCACACCCCATGCGTCATGCAGGTGCACACACTGACTGGAGCATTCCTCTTCTCCCTGGAGTCCCAGACCACCATTGGCTACGGCTTCCGCTACATCAGCGAGGAATGCCCCTTGGCCATTGTACTGCTCATCAGCCAGCTGGTTCTCACCACCATCATGGAGATCTTCATCACTGGCACTTTCCTGGCCAAGATCGCCCGTCCCAAGAAGAGAGCTGAGACGATCAAGTTCAGCCAGAACGCAGTGGTAGCCCAACACAATGGCAAGACCTGCCTGATGATCCGGGTGGCCAACATGCGCAAGAGCCTGCTGATTGGCTGCCAGGTGACTGGCAAGCTGCTCAACACCTACCTCACCAAGGAAGGGGAGTGTGTCCGACTTAACCAGGTCAATGTGGACTTCCACGTGGACACGGCTTCTGACAGCCCCTTCCTCATCCTACCCCTCACCTTCTACCATGTGGTGGATGACTCCAGCCCCTTGCGGGACACGGCCCTGCGCACGGGCGAAGGAGACTTCGAGCTGGTGGTGATCCTCAGCGGCACGGTGGAGTCGACCAGCGCCACCTGCCAGGTGCGCACCTCCTACCTGCCTGAGGAGATCCTGTGGGGCTACGAGTTCAGCCCAGTCATCTCCCTCTCAGCCAGCGGCAAGTACGTGGCTGACTTCAGCCTGTTTGACCAGGTGGTCAAGGTGTCGCCTTTGTGCTGCGTCCACGAGACAGTGCGGTTCGGGGACCCCGAGAAGCTGAAGCTGGAGGAGTCCTTCCGGGAGAAATCAGAGCGGGAGGGCAGCCCCCTGAGCGTCCGCATCAGCAACGTCTGATCCTGCCCACCGCACACTGAGCTCCAAGGAGATTCGCTTCACCCTTTCTTTTTAGCTGTTTTTTTCCCCTGGTCTCTTTCTTTCTTTCTTTCTTTCTTTCTTTCTTTCTTTCTTTCTTTCTTTCTTTCTTTCTTTCTTTCCTTCCATGTCTCACGGGGCAACTCCAGTGCTCCACTCTTTTTGGGAACGCACCGGAGGATGGCAGCTTTAGTTCCCCCAAAAGTGCCACTCCTGTCCTCGCTGGGCCCAGGAGGCCCTGGGCCCAAGGGAGCAGCTGGGATGCAACTCTTCCATCCTCCATGCCAAAGCATTTTCCAATCCCTCCTTTTCAGTGGCGTGGTGGTGGCAGCATGACTGTCTGGGAGCACCGGGGCCCCCTGGGGGACAGCTGGTCACCAGCCAGGAGGACTGCATCCTCCCGCCACAGAACACAGATTCTGTAGGGTGTGGGGGGGTAACTACTCTGCCTTTGATCTGACCCCGTCCTCACCATGCAGACTCAAGCCTAATGCACAGCTAACCTGCCAGCGAGAGACAGTGCCAGGTGGCCCCAAGAGAAGCTGGCACCTCCCTCCCCTGCCCAGGACCTAGGAACATAGCAATGGCTACACTGGATCCAGCCAAGGACCCGTCTAGCCGCCCATCTCCAACAGTGGCCAGCACCAGCATCCTCAGAGGCTGAAACTCTGTAGCAATGGAATAAGCTGCCCATGGGGAAGTTTTCCTCCTGACCCCCACTGGCCCTGAAGCAGACCGGTGGATAGCCCCTTCCAAAGCTCTTGGTTGTTTTCTTAGATCCTTACTCTTCTAACTCTGGATCGTCTTGTTACACAGAAAAAGGCCCAGTCCTTTTGCAAATCCTGCTAAGCTTCTGACCCTTGTGGCAGTGAGTTCCACCGGCTCACTGTGGGAAAAAACATTTGTTTAAATTTGCTGTGGGGAGCTTTGGGGGGAGGATTTTGCCAACAGAAACAATGGATCTCTGAGAGCCCCCAAACTGTCTCCATGGGAATGAAGAGAGGGCAGCATGAAGCTTTGAAAAGAGAAATGGTCCCAGTTCAAAACACCTTCTGCCATCCACAGGCCTTCATGTGGTCCATGGTGCTGGTCTATTTTCCTGGGATGTTGTGCATACAGTCTAGGGGCCTGACGGGAGATTAATCCCCTTTGCTTGCTTCTCAGCACCAGGGACAGCTGGACCCAGGGCTGGCAGAGCCACACACAGACCTCAGAGCCAGCAATTAGAGAGACTGCACACTGGGTTTGTGTCCCTGCTGTCAAGCAGCACCAGCATCCAGTGCTCATCACCCTGGGTTCCTCTCTCAGACCTCTCTGGGGATTTTCGTCACACCTGAAGGAAGCTGCACTTCAACCGGAACCAGGTGCAGCTTTTGCATCATCAGCTTGGGTTGGCTCTTGTCCACACAATGGTTATAACACTGTGACAAATCGGACTTGGATTTCACTGCTGTTATCACCATGCTGCAGGCTTGGGAGCGCACGGCGGTAGTCGCTCCCAGCCACTGCAGCCTGCGCTCAAGGAGAACCCTCATCAACTCTTAGCAATACAGGGCCTGTGATGGGTGGTCAAGCAGTTCTGATTCCATCCAGAAGAGAGCAGTGGTGACAGACCCACCAGCCAGTATTAATCCCCTGCATTCAAGCCGGAAACCAGCAATACCCCAGAGAAGTTAAAACGAAGGTGGACACTTACCTCTCCTTTGTACCCGAGCCCCAGGTACAGGCATGCAGCTTAGACCCAGCCTTACCTCCACTGTCCCAAACAGACCTGCTGTGATCTCGTTCTTTATTACTGTAAATTACTGACATCAGAAATGCTGAATCCAGAAGCTGAGGCTATGGGAAACCTGATCGGTGTTAAAGAAATGTTTGATCCCACTTCATCCCAGGCTCTCTGATCTGCCGGCTATCGCATCCGATCTCTGTCACACATTTCAAGGATCAGTGTCTTGGAAGTCTGGGAACTGAGCAGGGACATTATACACTGATCTGCAGTACTGTGTCTGTGTTTAAGGTGCCATTTGAAATTGATTTTCTGCCTGCCACATGGTCCCTGTAACAGTTTACTCATGGGTCAGTTTCTTTCATTTAAGGGTTTTGGAGAGTTTTTTATTATAGTTTTAAAAAGAAAAAATCTTCATAAAATATACATTGACAAACATTCACAATGGAGAAGCTCTAGATTGAACAGTATTTATAAATCTTCTAACTTTTTAAAAGGCAAAGGACTATTCAGGGAACTACATGTTGGCTGAATTGTTCTCTGCTGTGTGAAAACGAAGTGAAACCATGTTTAATTTTCTGTCTCCCTAGAAACATGGTATCGTGTAAAAATGCAGACAGACTAGTTTAGTTTATTAACTGGAGTGATGGTAATAGCTTCCACAGAGAGTTCTTTTTAACGAGTAAAGAGTTTAAAAAAAAAAGCCCAGAAAAACAAAAGCTTAATATTTACACAGCAGCTAGTAACAGGTCAGAGCTATTTTGACATTGCTTTTAAAATGGCACACGTGCGTTACAAAATTCCTAGTGGATAACTGCTGCAGAGGCATTTTCCAAAGCTGAATATCAGAGTTGTTCTGCTATTTCCCTTTGCAAAATGCCAGCAAAGATTGGATCACATGATGGAAATGTCCCACAGAAAACACCACAGTCTGATAGATTATCTCTGGGTTGGTTCAAAAAACCCAAAGGTAGGCTCAGATTATCTATTAAATTCTAAAGAACCCTATAATTTCTATCTCCCCCTGTTCTGTTTCTAGAGCTCATTGTTGGTTTCATCCCTACAAAACCATACAGAATTTTTCCCATCAGGGATATTAAAGTAGAATTACTATGCCCTGAACTAGCTGCCGGTCAGTTTCAGCGCTGATATTCCCTGAATGCAGAAAAAAATTGTTTGTTTATAACCATGTAACTTACAAATGTCAGTTTCACATCCACTCCTATCCCTTTAGACAGTGAGGATAATCACAACACGCCTAGATATTGCCAGGCCAGGGGACTGAAGAGAGCATATCCTGATGGAGAAGGGAGGGCCCTGGATTGAGATTAAGGCTACGACTTTGCCATGCCAATTTTTAGTTAATTCCATGGTGGAGGTGTGGGGAAAAAAACCCATAGTCATGGAAAGGTCATGGCTTAGTTGTGGGGGCATTGAGAACGAGCCTGGCCCGCACTCATTCCGGAACAGCGGCTCCTGTCCCTTGGGGCAGGGGCTGACTCCCCGTTCCGGGCCATCGCAGCACTACTCAGGTTTGGTGCATCCACCTCTCCACGGAGGCGGACACACCATATTTGAGTGGCGGAGCGACTGTGTGGTCCACGTCGCAATGCCCAGTGCGGGGGGGGGCAGGCCCACAGGAGCTGCCTTTACCAGGGTCATGGACCTTATTAAAATTCACGCCTACCATGAACACTGTGATGCGTATAAAGGGAGATTATTTTTGGAGGATGCAGGACATAGACACACTCTATGGTTCTCTTTGGCTCTTCAGCTGTCAGTCTATGTCAGGGTCTCTCTGAATTCTGGCCTGGGTTATATGTAGGCATGCATCCAGCATGCATCCTCCTGCTGCAATACTGGCTCACCCTGTAGCATCAGAGCAGAGCTGTGATTACAGATGCTGCTGAACGATATAGCTTAATGTCCAGCTTCAGGCCAGCACAAAGAGCTTTTATTATTAGTGTTATGTTAGCACCTATAGGCCCCATCTGCTAGGTGCTGTACATACCCATAGTGAGAGACAGTCCCTGCCCCAAGAGCCAGCAATCTACATAGACAAAGGGGAAACAGAGAGGAAAAATGACAGGGTCAAGATCATACATCATGCCACTAGCAGAGCCAGGGACAGACGCCAGGTCTCCTGCAGCCCAGGCTGGTGCCTTTCCCACTTTAAATATCCCCGTGGTGCTGCCTTCCAGCAGCCCTGAGCCTGCCCCTGCTTCAGGAGGTAGGAGCTTTGCCATATGCCGCAGCGGGCAGCCCAGAATTCAGGCACATTCCACACACAATTAACTGCTCTGAAGACAGTGCCATGGGCTCCTATGAGATGGAGCCAGCACCCCACTTGGGAGCAAAAGTTTCTATTAAAAAAAGGAGTACTTGTGGCACCTTAGATACTAATCAATTTATTTGAGCATAAGCTTTTGTGAGCTACAGCTCAGGTCATCGGTTTCTGTTGTAATCAGCAATACGGCCTTCATTGTGATTGGCAATCAGCTTCCTCCTTCACCTGGGTTCTTTCCCAGCATTGTAGCCTTGATGTAAACCCAGCTGCTTCCCTTCATTTTCCCTCAGGACTGATGACAAAGGTCATTAATGGCTTGTCTCTCCCCCGCAATAGGGAACAGGACACTGCCATCAGCCCAGCTGGCATCTGAGTGCTTGTTTTCATCCAACGTCCCCAAGAGCTCCGCCAGTTTTACAGAACGATTACAAACCAAGATTACTTCACTCACCACTGAAATGCAGCCACCTCTGGGCCAGCACTCGGCAGCTGTTTAACAGCTGCATGTCCACGCTGCACAGAAGTTTAAGGCAGGAAGTGAAGAAGGATTTTTTATCCACTTGTGACAGGAGAATTTAGCTTGGCCAAATGTTTTACCCAAGGTGGGATCTGGCAATTAGTGCAACACCTGCCATGGGATTTTAAATTCTTATTCTGTATTGTGGTAATTATGGACAGGACCCCATGGAGCTAAGCACTGTACAAACATGGAACAAAGAGATGGTCTCTGCCCCAAGGAGCTGACAGTCTAAGCAAATGACTGCACGTGATTGGGACCTCACTGTTATCTCTCGTCTGCCAAATCAACCACTGGGTCAGGCTCCCAGGTGCTGTAAAGCAGATGTAGCGCCATCCAGGGGGAGCCAAGCCAGTCTGCACCAGCTGAGTGCCTGGCCCACTGTGTGTCAGGGGATGAAAATAGAATTGTTTGGAAAAGAAACAGAGAGCATCACAAATTCATCATTTTGCCTGGAGTTAGGCTGTGATTAAGATCCAACCTCCTCTCCCCACCTCCAACTTTTTCCTGAGTTAGAATCTGAAAGCTCTTTACTTTGTGGTGCTGAAACTTTGGTTACTGGCTGGGAGGAGAATCCCTGGATCATTTCATTTAGAATGTTAGAGCTCCTGGATTCTAGAATCTGGAGCCTTGTAGCACTTCCTGGGTTCTACCATTCCAAGTCTTGCAGAATTTTAAGGGCTACGTTCCATTTAGGAGAAAGAAAAAGAGAATTTTTTTTAAAGCTCTTTGATGCTTAAAGAATTTCCATGGGATTTTTTAACAGGTTGACAGTTAAATTTAGCAACTATAAAAAATTCTTGTGGAGAAATAGCCCCCGGGGTAGGGAGGCAGATGTCACGGGGTGGGGTAGAGAACAGGCAGAGAAAGTGCAAAAGTAGAAGAGGGAAGAGGTATTTGAGAAAGAACATTATAAAACCTGGATGATCTTTAGAAAAGTTCTAGACTTTTCCCATTGCCCCAGACATGTCTCTCTCCTATCTCTGAGTCCTGGCTGCTGTGTATGTGTGCCCCTGCCTTCTACCTGAGAGAGTCAGAATAGGCCTTTTCTACTTCACAAACCAGGTCACATCGTGCAGCATAAAATCGAGGCCTTGACTTCACGTGGTCATTAAAACAATGGCTTGCCCTTCTCTACCATCTTTCTTCCAAGGATCTCAAACATTCTATAACGAAGTCTGACAACTGTCTTGTGAGGCAGGCAAGGGAAAGCTTCACCAACCACTGAAATGCAGCCACCTCTGGAGTGGAACGCAGCAGCTAGTCAACAATGCATAACAACACTGTGTAACAGCTTCGCATATAAAGTGAAGAAGAATAGAGTAAATTATGGCCATGATACAGGGGTATGACCAGAGTTCAGGTTTGATCAGGATACCAGAGTTACTCTTAGGAAGAGCACCATGAGATTTTTCATGACAAGACGAGGTCAGGAGGACATCGATTTCACCTGTACAGGCTGGAGCACACAATAAATACTCCCACACCTCCAGCCACACAGTACCTCTAGCCCCATGCTGGGGCCTTCATTCCATTCCTATCCAAAGGGAAAAGCACGTGCCACGTAACTGCAAATGCCACTCCAGTGAGCTATCTACAGATCTCCCCCCTAAGTAGGATGTAGGATCAACCTGGCATCTTCAGCACCAAAGGCACAGCCGCATCCTAGTCAGTTAAAGGAGTCACTGCCTTAACTGCTAGTATGAGCGGTCTCAGTATATATTTATATGGACCAGTCATGAGAGGGGAACATGACACACTTAGCCAGAGGGCTAGATCCAGGCCACACCAGCTGTAGTCCTGGGCCTGATTTTCAGTCATGTTAAGTCCTCTTTACACTGGCGGGGCAGGCGGGGGAGCGGGGGGGACCGGGTGGGGGGGCTGAAAGTCGGTGTAGCATAATTTGCAGCCCCTCTGTGCTGCCAGAGCTGTGCAAAGGTGCCAGACAGCATAACGGAGCGAATCCAGCCCAGATAAATTACACGAGGTTACAACAAACAGGCAGGACCTGATTCCCCATGGCGCAGCCTCTCACGCCATCACTTACCCCTGGGCAAAGTGGGTGTTGCACTACAGAAATAAGAGTATTTTATGCCCACTTTGGCCCTGGTGTAAAGGATGTCACACTGGAAATCTGGCCCACAGGTGCCATATGAAGATACATTTACAACCCCCTCCCCCGGCCCATAACTCCCCAGAGTGTCTTTCTGGTGTAAATGTTTGAAGAATCCGATTACAAAAACTCCAGACTAGCGTTGTCAGAAGAACCTGGGTCTCACATGGTCAGATCCTACTGAATGTCCTATCTCCCATTGCCCTCTTTGAGACACCCAATTGCCCTGCCCCTGGCATGGCCTTGGCATTCTAGGTCTTGTGCCAACAAGTGAAGCCAACAGGTTCTTTAAAGGTGGAGCCATTGGGTTTAGGCGTCACATCTGGATTTTTGCAGCACTGATATTTTAAAGGTGTACTGGAGACTGAGATGAAGGACCCACTGTGGAGAGGTCGATAAGACAGCAAGAGTTCCCAACTCTGCCACTGTTGCCAATGCATGTGATTTTATCGTGATTCTCGTGATAGCTGGTGCTTTTCTTAATGCCCCAGCTCCTGGAGTCCTGGGATAATATAGGCATCTCAGCTTTTGTTTTGTTTTAGAGGACATTTTCTAGCCCTTGTGGGTGGAGGGGCTAGAAGGTCAAAGTCGCCCCAATGCGTCCCTAGAAGCTCAGTGGCCAGAAGGCAAATAGAAAGGACCCAACTTTTATTTATTTTTTTAAAGTCAATGTCATGAGTTGTAAGCCAACTTCATGATTTTAGGGACCTGCCTCATGATTCCTGAATGCTCAGGGCTGGCAATGCTGTATCCCTCCTGGTTCTGAATGGTCAACACTGGCTTAGATGCATTTGGGGCCTGAGTCTCATTTACACTAAGGCCCCTTTGCACCACTCTCGCTGCCGAAAAGAGTCTTAACGTGGCTGTAGCTGCAAGTTGCACTTTACACTGCCAGGGCAGAGTGAGAGAGAATCCAGGCCCCGTGTCTGTGATGCTCATAGGCAGAGCCTTGCTGCCTCCTGAGCTGAGCTCCTGCCTGGCTTTGTCACAGACGTTGAGTTGCTCGAGGGCTTCTTTTCTTCTTTTCAAACGCTTGTCACATGAAACAAAAGGAAAGGAAACAATCAAACCCACATCATGCTCACTGTTGGAATCCCCGTGCTAAGAGAGGCAGCTTGCTAAGCCTTGAATGGGACTGACCTTCCTGTTTCTTAGGACTGTTTGCAAAAGTCCACCCCCATTCTGCATGTGTCGCTCCCCAAGACAAATGCTTCAGAGCTGTTTGCTTCTAAAAGAAAAGCAATGTTACCCACCCAGCAGTTAAGAGAAACCCTACAACAACAGCCCATTGCATGCACCCCGGCACTGACAAGCAAACCACAGCAAACAGCCCAGCATTCACAAGCAACCCTATGAAAATAAGCCACCGTGTGCAACCCAGCGCTCATGAGCATCCCTACAATAACAACAAACCACTGCCTGCAGCCCGGCACGGGCAAGAATCCAGAGGACGTTCAACTCCCCATGGGAGAACTGGCATGGGACGGTCCCTGGACTTTCAGAGGTGGATAGTGTCCTTTAACCTGCTTTGCTGTGCTTGTGTCTGCAGCTCCCATCCATCGATCAGGCACTCCCGTGGTTATGTCCTTTGGAAAGAGGGAAGCAGGAGTATCGAATATTCTCCTGATCCATGTGACTCCTGGGGACACTACTCTCATTTCCACAGACTATGGAAGTGTCTCAGAGCCGCCCCCCCCCATGCCCTCAGGACCCCATGCTGACCTGGATCTGCAGAAGGAGGGGGATGGAGCAGAACGGTGTCTCCATCCCTTGGAATCGGAGCAGACTGGGGCCACTGCTGTTCTGCCAGGCAGGGGTCCAGTCCACAGGACAGGGGGCTGGGAGAGCTTTCTGCTGTGTCTGCAATCATGGATGTCTTGCCACATGTACTGTGTGTCTGCCATCATCCTGCTAATCCTAACAGCCTCGTGACAGTGCAGGGAAAAAATCCGTGGGTAGGGACGTAACATATGGGCATGCATGGAAACAAGCCTGGCACTCTGACCGATAGCACGCCATCTCTCAGTGTATTCACGTGGGTGGGCGCATGCACACATGCATTCACGGATGTTCAGATGCTTCCAAAGACAGGGGGTGTCTTATCTTCTTCTAAACTGCTATCAATAAACAAAAGGGAATTAAATAATCCCATCTGCTCCTACGCAAAATGGAGAGCATCGGCACATGCATACACACTCATACACGCATTGACACATATACACGCATGTACACACCCATATACATGCATGCACATATATATATATATATATATGCATGCATATCCATGCAAATGCATGCATATCCAGACACACAGAAACTCCACTGGTTTCTTACAAGAACAGGGATTGAGGAGGCCATGTAAGGAGTGAAAAAGAGAGAGGTAATAACATGCTTTATAATGACACAGAAACTCCACACACACACACACACACACACACATTCTTTATAGTGTTTCTGTCTTACGGTAAAGCACCATCAAATATACAGGAATGGTGCTGTATATATTATTATTAACAGCACGTATTAATCTAGCATACGTGCTGTTAATAATAATATATACAGCACCATTCCTGCATACTTCTATAGAGATATAGCACCTCTCTTTGTATATATACTAAGGTGTATCTAGGCAGATTTTATAATGTTACATATCTCTGTATAAATATTGTGTTCTTTATTAATAGCTATATTATATGTAAGAGGGAGAGAGATTGTATGTAGTTAGATCCATAGATAATGCTTCTGCCTCACTCGTACAGCTTTAGAGATGTGTAAAAGTATTGCAGTGAGGCTTTGGGTTTAGTTCAGATATCCCAGGACTCAGCCCTGGTTCACAAACCGGGGCCAAATTTCAAGCCAGCCTGGGGTTTGTGGTGGAAGCCACATTAGTGTTGAGTTTGGGGTTTTCCAACCACATGACTCCAGAAGGCCAGGTGAAGCATGTGGAGAAGATGTTTTTGAGAAGCCCCGGGAGACCCCACATTTTGGCGCTTCCCATAGCTCCGCTGCACATATTTCTTGAGCCACCGTAGACACACAGACTCATGCTGTCTGTATATTGGAGGTGACGAGGTGGCGGAGTTGAGTGACACAATCAGACGCTGTTGCCATGTTATCTATTTAGCCCAAGCCTAGCTAGGTAACCCTTCCACCTGGAATCAGAACCTTTCCGCCCCTACTGAGATTCTGAAGGGCTAAAGGCCAATGGTTTCTACCTTTGTGATGCCTTGGAATCCGAGCCCACTTGGAGATAGATGGGCTCCAGCATGAGGGAACCCATGTGCTAAGTGGCCAATGATGCTGGTGACTGCTAAGGCAGAACAGGGGTTGGGGAGTAGTTTTTGGCTCCCTCTCGGAGCCACATTGTTGTAGAACTGGGCTGGTTTCTTGCAGAAAAGGTGTCCAAAGTGATGTAATGTAAAGATAGAAAGATGGAGAATGTCTCTGCTCTCCATATAAAATATCTATTGAAATATATAAATCTCTATAAATGAAATATAAATCTTTATTTTATTAGGGAGATCTAACAGAACTACTGAGCACTTTGTTGTCGGAGGGTTGAGAAGTGGGCACAAGACTCCATCAAGGTCAAGGGACAAATTCAGGGGAGCCAGGGCGAAAATTTCAATGAGAAATGTTATCCAAATTTGAAACATGCACAAAAACCTGTTGAAATGTTGGCAAAAACATTCATTGAAATGCTGACAACATTTTATTGAAATATGAAATCTTGATTTTAAAAAATTGTTGCAATTTAGATGGAAATTTTCATTGATATCTGAAATTTTGACAAAAAATTAATTAAAATGTCAAAATTTTGATTAAAATGCTGACATTTCAATGGAGATTTTAATTGAAATCTGGAATTTTGATGAAAATAATTGTTGAAATTTTTATTAAAATGTCATTGAAATTTTGATGGAAAATTTCACTGAAATATGAAATGTTGACAAAAATTGTCATCGGAAGTTGAAATGTTGACCAAATAAAACAGGGAAAAATGCAACATTTTCACAAGAGTTTTCACCTGTTCTCAGACCAGCTCGAGAGCTCGGAGGCAGCTCATAACAAAATGTGAGAGGGAAAAACTACTACTGTTACTAACAGAGAACAGTAACCCCAGATCTGAGCAAAATGATGGGGTGTAAGAAATCTGCACCTAGTTGAGAATTTTACAATGAGAATGTATAATGGACATGCAATCTGGGGCCTGATATACAGATATGAGCATGGATTTATCTCGATTTACCAACATTTCCCCCACTTCTGAGCTGGCTTGAATTCTGGGCGAAGTGTCCCTCGTCCCTTGATAAACCCATCTGCACAGCCACTGATGGAAACTGCTTTATGAACGGCACAGAGCACGTTCCTTTGAGGAGGTAAAAGAAAGAGGGGACTTGCCCACTTAAGTTCGATATGATAATCAAACATAAAACCTTGAGACACTG